TTACTTGAAAATTTCACTTCAATTTTTGTGTAACTGCTAATGCCTGCTAATAAAAAATTAACTTCTGAACAAAAAGCGACTATTATTTATAGTTACAAAAAAAAAGATACCTATCATAATATCGCAGCCAATGTCAAATGCAAAAAAAGTGTAATGGGTAATGTTATAAAGTATTTTATTGAAACTGGATCCATGGAATCGCAAACACAACGATCGGAACGATCACGACTTCTCAATAAGTGTGCTTATACCACTTTAAAAAAACTTGTTACTGGTAAAAAGGGTAATAGATATGTTATTGTCACAAAACTAACCAATCTTTTTATAGCCAAAACGGGAATCCAAGTATTCAAAAAAACCATCTGTCGAACTCTGCATAAAAAACAGTTAAGAAGCTGTATTACCCGCCCCAACCCCTTCTTTTCAGAACAAAATATTGAAAACCGACTTACCTGATACCTTGCATGTAAAAACTGGACTATTTGGGACTTCAAAAAAGTAGTTTGAAGTGATGAGTCTATGTTTACTCAATTTCAGTAAAGGAGTAAATGTCATATTTGGTATAGTCCCATGAAGAGTAAAATGCTGAATGCCTTTCTGCCACCATTAATTATAACCCAAGCCATATGCATTGAGGGTGTTTTTCATAATTCGATGTTGGCCTCCTTGTTTCTCTTCGTATCTTGGTTAAAGATAAGATAAAATATTTATTAAATAAAAAAAATTTTTTTTCGATTTATTATAAAAAAAAAAAATTTAACTTACCTTTTTACCTTTATAGCAAAGTTATATATCATAACTCTTCAAGATCATCTTTTGCCAGCCCTTTGAAATTTTGATAGAACCAATTGGGATTATAGTGGCCGCCCTTGGTTTTAACACAATAATGCAAGGCCATACGTTACAAAAATTACAAAGAAGTTTCTTGTTAATAAAAATATTTGAGTTATGGACTGGTCTTCTCGAAGTTCAGATCTTAATCCGATCAAAAACCTCTGACATTATATTAAAGTTTGGGTTCGTGAGATTATTTATTATTTTAATAAAAACAAAACTAAAAAAATATTTAAATTAGATAATTTAAATTACAAAAAATTTTATAAATAGTTTTTTTTAATAATAAAAAATATCTTAATTTAGAAATCTATTTTAATATTAATTTCTTTAATTTTTTTTTAACAAGTTTATGATTTATAAACTTATAATTTTTTTAGAATCTTGTCTAATTATTTAATCTAATAAAAAACTTAGAAAATTAACAACTTAAATTAGTTATCTTTAAATTGAAAATTATAATAAATTAGTTTTTATTAAAATCAAATTATATAAATAATATTTATAGTTTGATATTAATAGTTTTTAATTTAATATAAGATATATTTAGAAAATTTGAATTATATATTTTTATGTTATTATAATTTTATAATCTAAAAAAAAAAAAAAAAACTTAAATACTTATTATTATTAATATTTTAAAGAAAAAATAATCTTATTTGAAATCAAATAAATTTTTTTTATTAATTTTTTTTAATAGTGTATTTTTTAACTTATTTCTAAAAAATCCATAATCTCCTTTAATATTCTTTAGAAAAAAAATTAAATTACAAATTATTCTTTTAAAATTTTTTATAAAATCTATAATAAAAGCAATATTTAATAACTGTTATAACTTCACTTTTATCAGAAATCAAATAAAAAAAATCAAAGTTTTTAATTCTGCTAGAATTAATTATCCTATCTCAAATACTTTTAAAATATACTTAAAACTTTAGAACTTTGACTATTTAACTGACAAAAAAATCTTTACTTCAGCTATAATTTCATTATTTTAAATGGGCATTAGCCATTTAATACCTTTAATATATATATATACAGTATCTCATATTTGCGAAATGTGTAAATTCGATATTAACTCACGTGATAATCCTAGATTATCAATAAGAAGAGTTCTTCACTATTTTTTACTTTTATAGAAAGATTCAATGTTTTTAAAACGAACTTTCTTGGAACGTTTGGGTTCGCCACAACCGGTACTAAATAAGAATGCAACTCATAAAATTATAAATCTGCCATTAGCTCGAAATTATTCTTTCCGATGTTTCGTTTCGGTTATTAAAGTTCCCATTGAATGCAAGAAAAAACGTCTAAATGGTAAGTTATCTCGACAAAAAATTTCAAATTTCTATTTATAAGAAAATTGTTCATTTATTATTTCATATTAGACAAACAATTTGCAAAATATCGTGAATTTGGCCTAACCATTCAGAGACAAGTCCACGTAACAGGAAGTTGCTTTGGTATGTAATAAAAAATTTTTTCTCGGCTAAATATTATTTGCCTGTCATTTAGGAACGTTAATTGGATTTTCCTCATAGCTCAAGTCCAGAAAACTCGAAAGGACCCAGATAAAAAAGAAAAGAAAATTACAAAAGAAGCAGTAAATGAACCTGTCGAAATTCCAAAAGAAGACCCTTTGGATTCGGAGATTGAAGACCTATTTCCAATAATCACCACAACGGAAATTGAATCTAAGAAGTCTTCTGGAATCATATCAACGGAGTTTGAAGCCATCTATTCTGAGATACAAGAGAAATCCCACTGGGAACTGCCAAAACACGTAAACCCACGTCATGGCCGTCTTACTAACTTAATATTCAAGACAACTAATCGCGACGAAGCAAAGATGTTGGCAAAAATTTTTGCTCAATGGCGTCGTCGACTACTACCGATAACACGGATAAATACACGTTTTCTAGTAAAAAAATTGGTAGCACCCGAGATTTCTACGTATGACGTAGATTTGGAGTTGGTTGCAGAGCTATT